GCATAGTGTGTAAGCTGCCCAGGACTCCAGGGCAGACTTCTTTTGTTACCCAGCAAATAGTACATCTATGATTAAACAAAGAATGGGCTGGCAAGTGGCATGGTGGTTAAGGGTGCTGGACTCCCACAGAGCCGGCTGTGGTTTGAGTCCCAGACCTAGTGGCTTGCTTTTTCACTCTTGCTCTGTCCCTCTCTGGTCAAATTATAAATAGATAAAGTTAAATAAAAATTGTTAAAATTAAAGAAGACATACATTTTTTACTTTGTAGGGGCTAGTATCATCACCCCCAAAGTGGGAGAGGGTCACCAAGGGGTCTGGTCACCCCACATCCCCTTCCTCCAGCCCTGCAGCCTGTTAGATCTCGGGGTCTCTGGACCCAGCATGTTCCAGGCTGACCAGGCCTGAGAGTGAAATCGCAGGTACCTTGTGAGAGGTGATCTCTGAGCCCAGGTTACAATCCTGCCACCCTGCTCCAGCTGGCCTGTCTTATTTCTCCTTTGCCTCCACCCTTCCCTGATAACTTCTGCTAGTCTAAAAGATGTTTCTTCTCAATATTGGTCTTATTTCTCCTTTGCCTCCACCCTTCCCTGGTAACTTCTGCTAGTCTAAAAGATCTTTCTTCTCAATATTTAAACACTTAACATTTTTTTTCAGCCATTTTCCCTTGGAGTCCATAAAAGCCATTGCTGTTGAGAAGCTTATCTAAATTTTTGGAGATCTTATCTGAATCTGCTGAACCCTCACAAGGAACTATGAGGTTGGTAAGAAAAGATCTCAAGGAAACTACCCAAGGTTGGGGCTGGCAGATGGCATAATAGTTATGTTGCTGGACTTCCGTGTAGTTGACCACAGTTCGAGTCCTGGACCTGGGTGCTTGTGCATGTGTGCCCAAGATCCTGAGAGGAGAATGGAGAAAGGATTGTGGCATGGCCATTCTCCCTGGAGGTGATTTCTTGCTTTCTGTCTCACTGTCTCTCCAGTGAGCCCACACGCCTTATAGCAAAAATCTCTCTTAAAAATTGTTTTTTGGAGGGAAGCCAGCAGGTAGTGTGGTGGTTAAGGACGCTGGACTCTCACATTAGCTGACTGTGGTTTGAGTCCTTGGCCTGGTGGCTTGCTTTCTGACTTTCTCTTGCTTTGTCTTCCTCTGGTCAAACTAAAAATAAATAAAGTTAAATAAAATAATTAATTTTTTTTAAATCTCAAACAAAAATTTTTTCTAACTATAGGGATCAGCAGGTGGTGTGATGGTTAAGGTGCTGGACTCCCAAGTAGTTAACTGCAATCTGAGTTCTGAACTGGTTGGTTTGAAACTCATGCCCAGAGAGTGTGTGAGCCCAAAATCCCAAGAGAAGAATGAAGGAGAAGGGATTGGAGCATGGTCATCCCCCCCGGGTGTGTGTGTGTGTGATTTCTTGCTTTCTATCTCTATTTCTGGCAAGTGCACATGCCCTATAGCAAAAATCTCTCCAAAAAAAAGAAACATTTCAAATTGTGCTTATTATTATTATTTTGGTGGGGGTTGCCAACTTGCTGAAGAGACAATAAGAAGGAGAGCGAAAAATCACCCTCCTGGAGGCATAGCTATGCCACAGTTCCTTTTCTTCCATTCTCCTCCTGGGATTTTGGGCGCACATGTTTATGTGGCAGGCAGGTTTTTCAAGCCGCTGACCCTGCATCTCCAGTGCAGTTGTTCATGCCACCACGGCATCTGCTGGCCCCAAGGACTGTATTAATTTTTTTTACAGAAAACACCGTGTTCTCCTGCAAGCCCTTTCTCAGTAACTCTAGAGCAAGATTATTACCTTAGTACTACTCCGGGTGTGTTTGGCTTGTGGGAGGCATTCATTAAACATTGGTTCGTTGAATGCAATCAGTTAAGAAGTGGACATACGCGTCCAGTCCCTAAGGGGCGCTGTCTTCATCTACGAGCCAGTGAGACCAGCAGGACAAGTGGACGCTGCTAGGGCGGACTCTGCCGACCAGCTCGAGTTGCCTGAGGAGGCCCCGCCCACGCAGCCCATGGCGCAGGCGCAGCGCTCGCCGGCCCAGGCCCGCCCCGCCCCGTCCCGTCTGGTCCGGGTTCATGCCCACGTTCAGGTACCGGGCGGTTTGAGGGGGAGGGGCGCCACCCTAGGGCGGGACTGGAGGGGGCGTTTCATGTCTTGGGGGTCCGTTTTCGGGGAACCCTGAACACTTATACAGCCCGGAGCTGTTCCTGAGGCTGCCTTTTCCTGGATGGGAGCCAGTTCCCGGGTCTGGGGGCCGCCCGGGCGCTGCCGGTGACCAGCGCACGCCCCCTCTCTTATTTCGCCCAGCCCCGAGGTCTCCGCAGTTCTCTAGCTCCTGCACCCCTGGCCTCGTGGTTCTCAGCCCGAGTCGGGGGTCCTGGGTGGCTTGAGGACACCGGCGCTGGGCAGGTGCCGAGAGCCGCTGCCTTTCCGCCTGCAGCTCCGGCTCCCCGCCGCCGGCCTAACCCTGCAGGCTGAGCGAGGTGGTGCCGGGACCAAGGGGCCTCGGGGAGACCATGCGCGGGCGCCTGCCCGCTTCGCCCACGCCTTGTGCTCCAACTGCTTTCTCAGCCGAGCAGAAAAGCCGGGGGCGTGTTGCCGGGGCTCCGGGAAGTTGGGCGACTGGGCACTGCTGCCCGAAGACCGCGTGCACCTTCCTGCCCACGGGCAGCCCTGGTTTTGGCCCTTGCCACCACCCCTCAGTAAGACACCAGACCCTGCAACCCCCAGCCCAACGGATGGAAGTCCAGGCTGATGTCGCAGGGTAATGGGCTCTCAGTGGCCCCGCCACGTGGTGGGCACAGCCGCCCGTTAGTGGAGCTTTGTGCGTGACACTGTGGACCCTCATCAGGGGAGTGCTCTCAGAAATAGTTACGGCCTTGGGTGCTAAGCATAGCCAGGTAAGCTCTAGAAGGCTTGGAAATGAGGTTGTTGAGCAGGTGTCTGAGTGGACACTAACCTGGCGCCTCCAGCAGCACCTACAACCAGTAAGCCCTTCATAAGCCTTGCAGGAATGAATGGGAGTGTTCTGGGCTGGCGAGCAGGACTGGGTAGAGAGCAGCTCTGCTCACCTTGCCCCTGCCTCCCCCGGGCTCGGGCAGACAAAAGTAATTAGGTTGAGCATTTAATCACAGCTGGTTTCACGGTAGGAAAAGAAGGCAGGGGCAGAAATCTTGGAGACGCAGGGTGCTGGCCTGCAGGCCTGCAGGCCTGCCTCTCTCTGGGACCCAGCGACCCTCCCACCCCCCCAGTTTGGCTCTCAGGACGCTCCTGTTTTCTTGTCTCCCGCAGGACACTGGGTTCCCTAGGAGCGCTCCAGGCTTAATGATTGTCCAGAAGGTGGCTATAAAGGGAGCCTGGGAGGCTGGGTGGAGGAGCTGCAGAAAAAACAACTCAGCAGATCTGGGCACTGAGAGCTACGCGGAGGAGCTGTGGGCAGAGGCTCTGGGTCCTGGCGGGGCCTGCTCCTTTCTACCATGGCAGCCCAAGGCTACGGCTATTACCGCGCCGTGATCTTCTCGGCCATGTTCGGGGGCTATAGCCTGTACTACTTCAACCGCAAGACCTTCTCCTTCGTCATGCCGTCGCTGGTGGGAGAGATCCCTCTGGACAAGGATGATTTGGGTGAGCTCGGGAAGGGCAGGGTGGTGGGCCCAGGGACATAGAGCCAGCGGGACAGGCTGGGTGCTTGTGGCAGTGTGCGTGCACCAGCACGGGGTGTGTGTGGAGCATCCGCACAGCACAGGCTGGGCCAGTCTGCGTGTGCCGGCAGAGTCTGCGATCACGTATGTAAGTGTGGGTGAAGGACTGAGGAGGCTGGCTTATCTGGGGGGTGTGCGTGTGCACGGTAGGCTGTGACCCATGTGTGCCCTTGGAGGCTGGTTATTCTGAGTGTGTGGGGGGGGGTTTCTGGGGTGTGTGCGTGTGCACGGTAGGCTGTGACCCATGTGTGCCCTTGGAGGCTCTGTTTATTCTGAGTGTGTGGTGGGGTGTCTGAGCATGGCTTCCACACCCGTGCTGCTGTTGACACTGAGCACTGGGATCTGGGAGGTTGGCACAATGACTTAAGTGGCCTGACTGGCTACCTTCCAGAGGAACGAGGGCCCAGATTCCAACCCTGAGCCCCAGGTTCAGAGGTGGGGCAGCAGAACTGCCAGTGACTTGGGTGGGCGTACGGGGCCACTCGTGCTGGGGAGGGGAGCTGCCATGTGCACCCCTGTCATATCCCGACAACTGCAGCCAGAACTCTCCAAGAGGCTGAGAGCTCCCAGTTCAGCCTGGGGCTAGTGCTGATGGGAGGCCAGAGAGGTGGCAGAGGGTGACAAGTGTCAGGGTTGCAGCAGAGGCTCCTGTTTCTCTGGGAGGGAACGTTTCTCACCCGGCCAGGTACCTCTCCACACCTGACCCCATCCTTCCTCCCCCTTCCTATGCCTCTGCCCTGGTTCCTAACCCCCCAGCTATCCTGCACCCGGCTCCCCTCTCCTGCAGGGCTCATCACCAGCAGCCAGTCGGCAGCCTACGCCATCAGCAAGTTTGTGAGTGGGGTGCTGTCCGACCAGATGAGTGCCCGCTGGCTCTTCTCCTCGGGGCTGCTCCTGGTCGGCCTGGTCAACATCGTCTTCTCCTGGAGTTCCACTGTGCCTGTCTTCACGGCGCTCTGGTTCCTGAATGGCCTGGCCCAGGGGCTGGGCTGGCCTCCATGTGGGAAGGTCCTGAGGAAGGTGAGCACTTCCACAGAGCCTGTCTAGACTGGCATGGAGTTTGGGCCTCAGAGGTACACAGGAGCTCCTCTTCTAACCCGCTGCCTCCACCCCCAACCTGCAGCAGGTTCCTGGGGGTTCCCGTCCAGCTCCTGTTCCTTGCCAAGATATTTTAGGAGCCTGGGAGTGGTGGGATCGGGTGGCAGAAGAGGGAATTGGCCCTCTCCCTCCTGTAATGTGAGCTTCTGGGTCTGCCCCACCCGATCCCATCCTCAACATGGCTGTGGCCTGGGCACCTACCCTGCCCCCCTTTGCCCCACAGTGGTTTGAGCCATCTCAGTTTGGCACTTGGTGGGCCATCCTGTCAACCAGCATGAACCTGGCCGGAGGGCTGGGCCCTATCCTGGCCACCGTCCTCGCCCACAGCTACAGCTGGCGCAGCACGTTGGCCCTGTCTGGGGCCCTGTGTGTGGCCGTCTCCTTCCTCTGTCTCCTGCTCATCCACAATGAACCTGCTGACGTTGGACTCCGCAACCTGGACCCCACCCCGGCCAAGGGCAAGAAGGGTGAGCCCCGACCCAAGCCGATCACTGGGGTACCTCTGATCACCCTTCGTTAGGCGGGTTTTGTTGAGGACCAGTGGCATGGCATGGCATGCCTGGTTGGTCCTAGCCGGTGGAGGCAGGGGAGGGGTTGATGGAGGCCAGGTAAGGAGTAAATACAGCTCACCGTCGGGAGGCAGGGAAGTACCAGACTTGCGGCAGGCCCAAGTTCTGTGCCTCGTGTGGTCCTTCCTCACCACAGCAAGGCTCCCTGTCCTCAATAGTATCCTCAACTTAAGTGGCGCGGCTGCCTTCCACCATCCACCCTGGTCCTCAGTTTCTCTTTCATTTGTTGAGGCTCACAGTAGACTTGTGGAGAGGGTGGCAGGGGGGTGCCCTCCCTTCATATCAGTCCTGCAGTGCTCTGGACTCTGCCCCTAAGGCTGGTTAATGAATGGTGGGGGCTTGGGTGGGGGCAGGGCAATAGGAGCAGAGCCTGAGGCCTGGCCCCATCCCACCTCCAGGTTCCTCCAAAGAGGAGAGCACCCTACAGGAGCTGCTGCTGTCCCCCTACCTGTGGGTGCTCTCCACGGGCTACCTGGTGGTGTTTGGAGTGAAGACCTGCTGCACGGACTGGGGCCAGTTCTTCCTCATCCAGGAGGCAGGACAGTCTGCCCTTGTGGGTGAGAGGAATGCTGGGACGGGGTGGGCTGAGGAGCAGGAGCTGCTGCAGAGGATGGGGAATTCAGGCCCTGCTTCCTTCTACTCATTTTTCTGTCCTGTGAGGCTGGGCAGTACACAGGGCAGCTGTGGCCAGTCACCCCTGGGGACACTGTCTCTCTCTGGGTTTCAGCCATGGTGGGACAAGCCCAGCATGTAACGCCCTTCCATCCTTCCTTCCCTCTTCCCACCACAACTCCCACTGCAGGTAGCTCCTACATGAGTGCCCTGGAGGTTGGGGGCCTTGTAGGCAGCATTGCAGCTGGCTACCTGTCAGACCGGGCCATGGCAAAGGTGAGTGGGCAGAAGGGACAGGAAGGAGGGTCCCTCTGAATTGTGCCAGGCAGGCCCTGGAGACATGGGAGTCCTGGGGCAGAGGCAGGTGGGCATGTGTTGCTGGGTGAGGCAAGAGTGGTTCCTTCTACTCTCACCCTTCCTGGGAGGTGGAGGTAAGGCACTGGGGAAAGGGGAGAGCTGGAATTCGCCGTAGCCTGGGAAAACGGAGGTTAACAGACTGGGTGCACCTGCCCAGCACGCGCCCTAAGCCTGCCATGAGGTGGATGGGATGTGGTGGAGTTTGCCCTCAGAACGTCACAAGCAGGCCCCAGGGCCTCCCAGAGCTGCCCAGCGCCAAGAACTGGCGGGGGATTGCCAAAGACCCGTCAGTAGAGGCCCTGCTGTGTCAGAGTCCAGGGTGAGGGTTCTCTAAGCTGCCCTGACGTTGCTGGGGCTGTGTCCACAGGCAGGACTGCCCACATAAGGGAACCCTAGG